CTCTCTTAAATATACAGCTTTAAGGCTGGTACAGGAAGACTGATTTGAGCTGGACTCCTGCCTCCTTGCTTGGCTGCCTTGCAATAAACCTTCCTACAAAATCCAGTGCTTCAGTGTCTGGCTGCAATTGTGTGTAGGCAAATGAACCCAGTTTGGTCGGTAACAATAATTGTCAATAGTATCAAAGTCTGCTGAAGTCTAAGTAAGGGCTTATGGAATTTCTGCTCTTCTGCTTACTAGTGACCTTAGCACTGGTTGTATGGGGTAGCAGCAGAGAAACGACTCAAGCCAGTTGAGGGATTAGTGGAGCAAAGGAAAGGGGGAGACAGTGAGTATAGATAACTACTAAGTAATTCCAAAAGCTATTATAAAACTGGAAGACATCAGAAGAGGAAATATTGAAAAACAGAGTGAGCATTCAATATAAAAGTTGTTTATGTGCTGAAACATTCTGTCAACTCAGGATGAGGGATATGAAGAGAGCAGATGCAATATGAACCTTGACACAAAGTCCTCCAAACCTTTACAATGAAAATCCTTTGAATGCCTGACTTTCAGGCGTTATATTATCAAAGGACAAGTGTTTATTCCCTTTTAAAAAGGAAAATGTATTAGAGGATTATCCAAAGACTTTGTCACATACAATTCTTTTCTGGAAAAAACTAAGTTATATGTTAAAAATAAGTAATCAGGTAATTTCCCTGTGGCCAGAGAGACAGAAAAACCACAATAACCTTAACATTTCTAGGATAGTTGGAAAAAAAAGCCATTTTCTCATGGAACTTTGGGTTTGTTTCCTTTCATAAAAAGGGGAAAAGGTGAAACTTGGTCTTCCAAAAGTCTAGGAAAGCTTTTAGAGCTGAGAAAAGACTGAGTCGGGGTTGATGAGGGAAGTAGATGCCGGGTGGAAAACAGATAATTAAGCATTGCAAAAGGTCAAGCATTGCAAAAGACAGAGAGAAAGATGTATTCTATGTGTTGAATGTATCGAATGTACTGGAGAAGATGTAAATCTTTGCACGGGTGAATATTTCAATATTAAAAAAGACATATTACAGAATAGCTATTCTTACAAAAGGAATAAACTTTTTTCTTTGAAGCTTGACATAACAAATACAAATAAAGCATTAAAAATATGCTTTGAAGTATGCTAACACGTCAAGATTGTACTGAGCAAAGCACATTTTCTCTGTTTAGGAACAATCTCACAAATTCCATAACATAATATGTTAATTAAAAGATCCCAGGTAGCAATCATGGAATATTTCTTCTCATGACAGATGAAGAATACAAATATTCTGAAGACTGAAATTGTATAAACAAAATGAAGAGATATTTTGTCCATTTTCTGGCAGTGCAAAGTTAAAGTGAATGCAGATGAATGAGCTGGAAATAAAATGACACCATTAACCATCTGAAGATTGGGCTCATTACCTAAGAAGGCAAAGCATCAATTTGTGGCATTATAACATTCTGTTTGTGCTGCTGAATGTGCGTCTGGATGTTTTTATATACTCTCTACTAATTTGTGTGCATAGTAAGCTCTGCTGCCTCAGTCTCTCAATAGAAGCTTAATTTTGCATTGTTTCTATTATATTATTTTCTCTAATGAAAATGGTATTTTGTTTTAGAAACAAACACTTCATTTATTCTCCAAATAATTCTAGGTTCAGTTTCTCTTGTTTTTTTATTATCAAGTTGTGGGTACAGGATTTCAGATATATCTTAAAATTGAGGTGCTCTTGATTAAAAATATACATTTGAATGACATGTGAGGAAAATATTTATTCACTCAATCACTCACTCATTCATTCTTTTTTTTTTTTGAGATGAAGTCTCATTCTCTTGTTTCCCAGGCTGGAGGGCAGTGGCACCTTATTGGCTCACTGCAACCTCCATCTCCTGGATTCAATCAATTCTCCTGCCACAGCCTCCTAAGTAGTTGGGATTACAGGTGCCCACCACCACGCTTGGCTAATTTTTTTATATTTTTAGTAGAGACAGGGTTTCACCGTGTTGTCCAGGCCAGTCCTGAACTCCTGACCTCAGATGATTCACTTGTCTCGGACTCCCAAAGAGCTGGGATTACAGGCGTGAGCCTCTGTGCCTGGCTCCCACTCATTCATTCCTAAAAAGAATGTCCATGCATTGGGTTATGCATCATGGGAAATTCAAGGATGTTGCACTGTCTCTGCCCTCAGGATGTTTATAACATAGAAGTGACTGAATGTCATTAGTGCCTTCAGATAGGAAGAAGCATAGGGTCACACAATCTCAGAGGAAAGGGAAGGTCAGTGTATTATCTCATACCACAAATATTTATTGCGTGCCTACTATATGGCAGGTGCGATTCTAGGGGCTGGGTATATAGAAAAGAGAATAAGATAGTCAAGGTCCCTGACCTCATGAACCTTGCTTCCTGAGAGTGAAATGGAAAATAATGAAGAAAAAGACAAATAAATAACATAACTTCAGATTGCACTAAGTGGCATGAAGGAAAATAAAGCAGAGCAATAGCAAGGAGAGCAATGGTAAAAGAAGGATGTAAATTTTAACTCAGGAAGGCCCTGTGAAGACGTCACATCTGAGTAGAAATTTGACAACATATAGGAGCAAGTGTATGAAGTTCCAAAGGAAAGGCTTTCCAGGTAGTGGAACTTTTGTGGCACAGGATAAAGACTTTATTCTAACTAAGTGAGAAGGAAATTCATTGCAGATTTGAAGCAGGGTATAGCATGATCTGATTTATATTTTAGAAGGATCATTCTAGATACCGTATAGAAATTCAGTTATAGAGGGGTAAGAAGGTAATCTGGACAGAGGTTAGATATCTGTGAATAGTCCAGGTTAGAGAAGACCAATGAGAACTTGATTCATATAGTCTAACCAAGGATGACAGATGAGAATGCACTGTGGTAGTCCATCTAGAGGTGGTTGGTGAGGACTAGGTTGAATATTACTTAGATGATGAAGGAAGTCGCACAAATGAAGTGATATGATGTGACAATAACTGAGTTGAACTTTAAGTGATGGGCAGCATGTGATGAAGCAGGTAGTCATTCATTGATTTATTGAGTGCTTATCTATTTTTATGAACAAGGCACTGTGCTAAGTGCTAGAGATACAGCAGTACAGAAGCTGTTGCTGAAAGTGAGAAGCAAACTTGCTGAGAGTAATATTTTAAGTAAACAGACACAAGCAGAGAGGTGAACAATATGCTCACAGGAATTACTTCTAAAATTTGTTCTAAGGATGTTTTATTCTTTTCCATTTAGTTTAGAAAATTATGTGATTAAACTCCTTTGTATACTTGGCTCAGTGAATTTGCAAAAGGAGTAAGTTTCTATCAGTAGAAATTCAATTCACTGTCAGCTGGGAAATTTCATCAGATAATTTCCTTAGAAATAGTGATTAGTATTTACTTTTCTCACGCTGGAAAGGAGAACGTATAGCCTCTCTAGAAAGAAAAAGAGGATAAGAGAGTACAAAACCTAGGTCAAGGTCAAATATAGGTGCATCTCTTACAGTTTATCTGCTACCTGTCTCCAATGTTGCCCCACAGTCTTTTTCCAAACAGATAACCCAACTTCAACTTCCCCTCCTTCTAATCCCAATTGTACACCGCCTCCAGAACTAACTGGCCTAAAGTAGTCCAGTCATGTCCATTCTCCAGGGCCTACAGAATAAATTTCAAATTCCTCAGCCTGACACACACTGACCCAACCTACTTTTTTTTGCTTTATCTCTGACTACACACTCCTCAATTGTTTTAATCACCTTGAATTCTCTTCTTTTTAAAATTATTTTTTGAATTGTATGAATATGTTATGAAATACATATACCATAAAACTTACCATCATCACCAATAATATTATTATTATTTTAGGTGTATAGTTCAGTGGCATTAAGTACATTTGCATTGTTGTGCAAATCCCATTGGAATTTAAATCTCTATTTCCCTAATACTTCCAGAAAATTGTTGCCTGAACCATATTTGTTTTTAAATGGTTCATGGGGCCTCCTGAAATGCCTTTTCCCATCCAAATACTAAGCAGGCTTGACTCTGCTTAGCTTCCGAGACCAGACGAGATCAGGCACATTCAGATTACTATGGCCATTGATCTGAAATGTCTTTTGATTTACTTATCAATTAAAATCCCACATATCTGAAAGATTCATGCTCAAATTTTTCTTGTTTCTTTAGGCTCCTTTGACACCTTATCTGGAAACAGGAGGTCAACAGCAGTGTGTTACCTACTCTAGTGCTAGGCAATACACTGCTTACAGTAAAAATGATGCCTGGCTGGTAAATTGCATCTGGACTAGGAGGACCTATAGATGAACTATAAACACATGATAGGGATGTGATACTTTGGACTTCCCTGAGTAATGACTCTTGTAATTAGTCAGGTCCCTGGTAGGGACCATGGATGTTAAGTCTTTGGAGTTGTTACAGAAGATATTGCCTCTTATGGGGCAGAAGGCTTTTAAACCAGGGCCATTCCTATACCCACCCAATATGAATCTAGTCTTCTTGAACCTGAGCTGCTACCGGGGGGGCCAGAACTGATACTTTTACTGATATTAGGACTCTCATTGAAGAGAAAATCTGAAGCTTTCCTAGTGGCCAGCAGTATTTCTGTATTACATTTTTTCTAGGTAAATCTCAAGCTAAGTGCTCATGCCTATAATCCCGGAAGTCTGGGAGGCTGAGGTGGTAGATCATATGAAGTTGCAGAGAGCCTGGATCACACCATTGCACTTCAGCCTGGGTGACAAAGAGAGACTCTGTCTCAAACAAAAAGAAAAAAAACCCTCAAACCAAGTGTGGCCCATAGTAGTCTCGTAGTCTGAATGTGCAGTTGGACCTAAGAAGACCTGCTCTTGAGGTTGCATCAATATGCAGAAAGGTTGTACTAAATACAAATACTCCTTGCATGCCTGAACTCAAAATCACTGGGAACCTGACACAGGACTAGGGCAATAAAAGCACTGCTCACCTTTGGAAGGAGCTGGATTGCCTGTAGAATTCTTTGTCGGTGCCCAGAATTAAGGATTCCAATTTCCAACAAATCCTGATCTTCCATAACATTGCTTCCCTGAAAAAAACCAGAAATGTTAATCAACCATTAATACCGTGGATAAATAACAATGATTTATTTAATACAGAGAAAACCAATGAGTGACCTGATTTTTATGAATAAAGACATAGAGTCACTCTTCCATGAGGGTGAGGGCAGAGTTGGTCACCTTGTTACTGATGTGAAGGTCAGGGGAAAGTTCCCCTTCCCTCACAAATATCTCTCGAGGCTTACATCCACATTGGCTTATCTACATTGGAGAGTTATTCCTGTGACTTAAAAGTTTGTAAAAATGTGACTGCTTCTAGGAAGAGTTGCCATTTAGGATTATCACTGACCTACACATTGATGTAAATCTTTTTTTTCCCTTGACAACAGAGTTTGTGAGGAGGGCTGGTAGAAAAATTGACATATATTAGGCAGATTAAAAGTGAGAATTAGTACTTAATTTAAAAATACCGAATCACAAGAGCAAACACATAGAATCAATTTAAATGCCCAGTAATAATAGACTGGATAGAGAAAATGCAGCATATATACACCATGAAATACTATGTAGCCATAGAAAAGAATGAGATCATGTCCTTTGAAGGGACATGGATGGAGCTGGAGGCCATTATCCTTAGCAAACTAATGTAGGAACAGAAAACCAAACACCACATGTTCTTGCTTATAAGTGGGAGCTAAATGATGAGAACACATGGACATAGAGGGGAACAATATACACTGGGGGCTGTTGGAGGATGGAGGATGGGAGGAGGGAGAGGATCAGGAAAGATAACTAATGAGTATTAGGCTTCATACCTGGGCAATAAAATAATCTGTACAACAAAGTCCCATGTCACAAGTTTAACTATGTAACAAACCTGCTCATGTATCCCTGAACATAAAATGAAAATTAAAAAAAAGTATTGAATGCCAGACACCAGATCACGATATGAAGATTGAATGATGAATAAGACACAGGGCCCTTCCCACAACTGCCTTTATTCCTTCCAGTCCACTGATGGAAAGGAACTGTTCTAAGCCTGTTAGGGTGCTGAGACTATGCTATGATGGTGACACTTGCTGGGAGTCCAGAGGATATCCAGGATATTTTTTCAGAAGAAAGGACATCTAATCAAATATAGGAAAAATTGGTGGTTGGGGCTTAGCACCTACAAGAGGAAGGATGATAGGAAAATTACGTGCAATGACCTGTGAGTAAGAAGGAACATAATGTACTTGGAAGCATCACATTCTGGGGTAACATGGAGAGAGGAGCAAACAGTAAGGCTGGACCAGTAAGCAGAGGCCAGACTATACAGATATTGCATGCCATGTTGAGGGCTTCAGACTTCATCCTGACCATAACGGGAAGCCATGAACAGGTTTTAAGAAAAAGAGTTACATGCTGAGATGCCAAATTTAGAAAGATTATTTTGATTTCTGTGGCTGGGCCTCAGTTTCCCTACCTATAAAATAATTAGGTTGAGCCTACAATGTTCAAGGACCAGTTCAGTCCTAAAATTCTCAGATTAAAATGGTTATTTTACACCTCTGATTAATATGTGAATGCAGAAGTTTACAGATTGCTCATTTTATCCCTTGATTTTAATCTTTCAGGGTTTGTAAGATAGAGTTTCTTTTTAAATCAAGGCATCTATAGAAATTCAAGTATTCAGATCACTATTTTTTTTCACAAATCAAACTGTCCTACTTACGTGTAACACAAAAATTCAAGAATAGAAATGACAGAATATCTGTTTATTTAGAGTGATGAGTACCATTAGACACTCAAAGCAAAGGAGACTGAATTGGAAAGGGTGATTCTGGGCATGGAGACCACTGTGGTTGTTCTCTAGAGATGACGTGGGTGTAGCCTAAGGTAGTGGGCACAGGAGCAAAAAGAAGCAGGTGGATTTGAAAACTATCAGGAGTTTGACTTGGAGATTGAACATGCGGAATGATGGAGAAATGTGGAATACACACTGATTCAAGGCTTGGGCAGTGGGTGGAAGTTGATGCCATTTCCTGCCATAACAAATGAGGAGGGACAGCCCTAGTGGGGTACAAAGTGAGACTAATGTCTTTCCCTGGACAGGGACAGAATAGATGGATGTAAACAATAATATCAGACTGCATTATAAATGGAAAACTGGCTGGTCTTAGAAGGATTAAAGGCATTGGAATGGCACCACAGCTAGGGATTTAAAATGGGCATTCACTGGACAAAAGCTTTCCACCTACTCATGGAGTCATTCCTATGCATAAGCAACACCAGCCATCTCAGAGGAAGCGGAATGATCCAGGTATTCAGCAACATGATAATGAAAAGCCTAATGAAAAACAAATAAAGTCAGTCTTGGCAACATGCCACAGGAAATATTGCTCTCAAGAAATTACTCAGTGCACACAACAGAGCATGGCTGAGAATACAAATGACTTCGTTTTGAGAAATTATTATTTCCAGAAATGGACTAGTATGGCATGAGTGGATATGTGATATCATTCTGACTTTTACTCTTTGAGGAGTTCCCTGGCCCTTAAGAAAAAATCTTTGGCCATCTTTGTGTTAGAACATTACCAGGTTTTCCAGGTCCTAACTTACCAACCTACAACTTTAGCCCATGTAGAATAGAGGACCTGGTTCCTTTGCATAAACAGAAAGCATATGAATATCCCATAGTGTGCCTAGCTACTATCTCTAGGTAATCCTGACAACTGAATTTCAGTGTTTGAATACTGAAAAGATTTGGAAAAATTAAATCCTTAAAGACCACTGTTCTTCCTCTACACCTCCAATATACTATTTTCTGTATCTTCAGTAAGAGAGGAGTCCTTTGAAGAACTGTAGGGAAGTTAGATATTTTTAAAGGTGGTGTTAAGTACAGAAGAACATCTTCTTTTTGAGTCAAATTTCCTAGCATATAGGTTAATTACCAAACACTTTTCAAAAATGAACCAAACTTATGGGAAGCATAAGAAAAATAGTGAAAAAATGTGTCAAAGGGGAAATGGTACTAATTGGGAAATGGAAAGGAAAGGATTTACTGTCCCCAGTGAGGCATGCTGTTAGACATTTTCTATTTTATCTTTTTCTATAATACATAGGGATGCCAAAAATATGCTAGTATATCATTCAGCCAGCCTTTTGTCCAAACAATAGGGGACTTGGAGTCTGCTGAACTGGGTTTGGATCATGACGGGGCAAACTTGGCTAAGTTGTATATTCTTTGTAGGCTTCCTGGTCCTCATCCATCAAACGAAGCAGTTTAATGAATATGCATTCAGTTTCAAAATGCTATGATTTCAGTCATGTTTGACTTTTGTTGGTATCATTATATATAAACATAGATTGTATATTTTGAAATTACATTTCAGTGTTTCAGAATCTGTAATCTAAAATTAGCTTTAAGAAGTGATTAAAGACAAATTCAGGAATGCATTTTTTTGACAAATCAATCTTGGTGTGATGGACTTACAAAATTTCTTATTAAAAGAAATTACAGAATAACTTATTTTTGCAGTAGTATGGATTCTTATTGCTTTTTAGGGAAAAACCAAATGTTTCAAACCTTATAACTAACCATTTCTTTGGCACCTGGGTGACAGTTGTGCCATCAAGGATAATAAACATTCCCATTCTTCCTAGGGAGCTGAAATTAATTCTCACTTTGTTGCTTGCTCTTACAAAATGTTAGTAAATCTCAGCTTAACTTTTTTCTTTTTCTTTTTTTTTTTTTTGAGATGGAATTTCACTCTTGTTGCCCAGGCTGGAGTGCAATCGCATGATCTCAGCTCACTGCATCCTCTGTCTCCTGGGTTCAAGCGATTCTTGTGCCTCAGCCTCCAGAGTAGCTGTGATTACAAGAGCCCATCACCACGCCCAGCTAATTTTTGTATTTTTAGTAGAGACGAGGTTTCATCATATTGGTCAGGCTGGTCGCAAACTCCTGACCGCAGGTGATCCACCTGCCTCAGCCTCCCAAAGTGCTGGGATTACAGGTGTGAGCCACTGCTCATTTTTTGTAATAAAAACTATACTCAACTCTAGCTTTCTTCCTCCTCCATCAGTTTTTTTTTCACATAACTGGTAGGTCAATGGTGGGGGGCAGAGCTTCGTCATGTCCATCTTTTGTTTAGTCATCTACTACACTGCACTCTCGTTTCCTCTCCTGCCCAATACATGCCTGTCCCACTTTTCCTCTCCCATTTTACTCCTCAACTCACCAGAATAACCTGTTCTCCTCCATCGACTCCACCAAACTTCTCTGTCAAATGTTAAGAATGTCCTCTCAATTGCTAAATCTCATTGATTCTTTTAAATCTTGATTTCAAGAATTTACTTGTCACATGTAGGTGGTGGCCACCATATTGGACAACACGGATATAGAACATCTCCATCACTGCAGAAAGTTCCATTAGACAGTACTACTCTACAGTTATAGACACTGAAACTTTAGTCAAATCCCAAAAATGAGGCAGTAACAGGGAATCAAATCAGGGGCTCAAAAGTACTCATGAGTTATTCTCAGGATGTAATTATTCCTGTGCCTCTTAGTCAAAGTCCATGAATATTAAGTTGAGGATCTTTAGCAAATTCTCTTCTAATTTTTCAGTCATAACAACAAATTAGAAGGTTGTTCTAATTTCAGCAACATTTCTTTATTCTTTATGCTATGAAAATGACAAGTCCAATCACTAAATTAATTGACTTTCTTAGCATCCTCCAGTCACACTGCGTACGGTGTTTAAATAACAATAATCAATAAATAAAGTTGTTTAGTTAATGACTTTCTAGAATGATCAAAGGCCCAAATGCAGTATTTTTAGAATAGCTGTTCTTTGCCTGTCAAGAAATGTCTAATGCAGGGTATCTTTATTGCTCTCTTAAATCATGGAATGAAAAAAAGTCACCTAATGTTTTATGCACTAAGAGCTGAAAGTGGAAGTTTCTTTGACCATGGGGAGAATGTCTAAGGTACTGAACTTCTTCAGCTGTGATAAAAAGTTAGAATGTCCAAATAGAATGAAAA